GATTACAGGCGTGCGTCACCATGCCCAGTCTCAGTAGGCACACCTGGGATTCCCAGGCCAGCACGGAAGGCAGTACCCAGGAATCAAACTCTGGCCCTTGTACTTTCCAGGCAGGCGCCTAGACCACTGAGCTATCTCCCCAGCCTCCTTCCTTTTATTTTTGAAGTACGGTTCCACTCTGCAATTCAGGCTGGGCTTGAACTCGCTATGTGGCCCAGGCTGGCCTGGAACCTGTGGTGATCCTCCTGCCTCAGCCTCCCAAGTGCTGGAACTACAGGCATCACTGTTAAAAACTGATCTAAAACCAGTACACATCAATTGTAAGGTATGAAAAACATAAGTTAAATGTGCATCAAAGTCCAAAGAATTCCTGAAACATGTTCTTTTACTGTAGGAAGACAAAGATGGATGATTATTCTACTAGATAAGGCCAGGAACCCCAACCAGAGATCCACAGGGCTTTGGACTACTGTGAAAACTCTGTACAATGGTATTTGGAGGTGCAGAGTTTGGGTGGCAATTAGGACTAGGTCTGTCATGAGGGTGGAGTCCTCGAGATTTCTGGAATGGCTTCAGGAGAAGTGGGAGACAGCTGCGAGCAAGCTTTCTCTACCTCCTTAAGTCACTGTGAGGTCCTGAACCACCTTGAGACTCTGCCAGAGTCCCCATTGGCAAGAACGCTCTCCCCAAGGCAGCTCCTCAACCTTGGACTTTAAAACCTGAAAAAATGTGAGACATAAATCTATTTTCTTTATAAACTTCTCAGTATGTGGTATCCAGTATAAGAGTGGAAGATAGACTAAAGCAACATTTTAATGAAAGAAATACAAAAGAAAAGAAAGGCAATAGTCCCAAAGGATCAATGAAGGCAGAATAGATGTGCACTCTTCAGGTTTTTAAATACACAAACCAGAAGGTGGTGCTATTACTACTAAGAGACACTTCACAGAAGGTTCCTCTCACAGATAGGAAATGAAAGTGAAATCTAGTCGGAATTCATTCTGCTCACATACCAGGCACACCTACTGTTTTTCTTAGCCAATTAGAGCTAGCACTGAGGAGGAAGTACAGGGTACACAACCTTGCTTTAAAACAGAAATGAAGAAAAAAAAATTAACATCACAGGACAAAGAAAAGACCAGATATCAGATGTTTTCTGTACCAAAAGGTGATTTTCCCTTCTTCACATAGAAGCAATTTGAAAATCTGAGTAAGTACAATATCTCCTTATTAGTATCTTCAGCATCTAGAGTAGCAGCATACTGACTCTACTTTGCAATTAGACAATTAGACAACTGAAAAGTACTGTACTGTGCATTTCTGCTGGTCTATGAGAAGAAGCAGCTAATGATTTCATTTGTTTTGTCTGCTTTTTTCAATTGTTTGCACTTTTTCTCTTCTAAATTTCTTATACATTTCCTTCTTTATTTCTTCCTTCTTCTAATTTTACATACATATATCTGGTAATGTGAATAATTGGTTGGAAGACAACACTGTGTTACAACAAATACTGTGAAATTCATATTATCTTGTTAAGTGAAATTCTGCATCACTTGTAATTTGTTCTGCTTTAATTCTAATTTGTGCTCTCTTTAATAAAAAAACTAATAATATTCTAAAGCTAGAATGTTTAAACTATCTGTTGCTTCCATTAGTATCTGCTGTGTATTAGTTCAAAATAAATCAGCATTCCTTAAAATATTTGCATCTTTAAAAGCTGGAGGCATTTTTATGGATAAAATCCTCCAAGGCA